GGCCTGTTGCCCCCTGCGGTCACTAACTTGTCCAACAACTCAAACTGTATAGGGTCTGGGAAATGCAATCCACTCGGCCTGGGAAATGTTTAAAATCTAATAAGGTATTTATTAAACATAAAAGACAGGACATAAGATTCACAAAGCAAATTTCAGTTACTAGAATATCAAACCTCCCTTCTAAATTCCATGTTTTGCTTATATTTTAGAGAAAAGGGACTTTGACTGGGGGGGCCAAAATGGTTGGGTGGGGGGGGGGGCACCATGGGGGCTGGGGGGCTTTGGCCCCCCCAGTTATATAGTTAAAAAATGCCCTGGTGGACATTGCACGTTATCACCAAAACTAATTGAATGTTTTTGTTGTCGTGAGAAAGCATTAGAGTACGATGAATATGATGCGCTTCTCAACCAAACTGAAATACAAGGAGAAAAATGCTTGACAACACACCCAGATTTTAAAGACAACATGCTATCAGAAAATGTGCTAAAGATAGATGTTTGTCGTTAGGTCGAGGAAAACTGGCCATTGGACAATGAGGATCTGGAAAGAATACATAAGCTCTATCGACTGGTAGCATACCACCGATGTTCTCGCTGGGTTTTCCAGATTTTGGGGAAAAAGAAACGAAGACCTTTCCCTGCTTGTGTGTATTCAAAGATACGAGAACAGTTCGCGTCGCCAGACGGCCTGTACACACATTTTAAATACGCCAAACATCTAAACGGTAATGTTTATATATTTATTTTTAATAAATGAATGTTTGCTGTGGTATTATAGTATTAATATTCATACAAATGTTTGGCAAGTGTGAGCTATTTCGCTTTATATATTAATTATTATAAACAAACTTTAAAGGTGCCCCATACAGTCCGATCTTCGCATGTGCACAAAGGAGCCCACTTGTTATTATAAACAAACAGTTTAACTATGTTTTGGGTTCTTGCAAAGCCTGATTGTTGTTTCTTGATCATTTATTATACTCTAGAAGCTTGAAAATACAAATAGTTGTCGAATAAATTTCAATATTTTGGACGCAAAAATGTAAACAAAGGCTTTGTTTACATACGGACTGTAGGGCACCTTTAACTTTATATACTGTATAATTAAATACTAATTTTTTCATACCCTTATAATATAAAACATTAGTCTACAAGAGCGCCTGACCCAATATAAATAAAAATTTATAACCATTCCTAAATCCCTAACCTTATAAGCTATATTATACACCCGTAATCCTACCAAAACTTTACCATAACCCTAAACATTGGTATGTATTTGTTATATCAAGCTATTTCAGTTGTGCATGAATTGAGAAAAAGCCCAAATTCGTCTCATTCGCGGTTAATACACTTTTCTATTTTACATTTGCACTTGGTGTCACACATCACTTCCATTCCCCTACAATCGCACATTCTTGTGGCACATTTTCCTTTGCATGCACAAGGCTTTATCTCTGATGCTCTCTCTTTATTTACAGGTAAAGCTGGTTTACTGAACCGAGATTTCCGACTGGCTACCACCTGTTCCTTTGAAGGTCGATCCTTTCCTGCCAAGTACTGTTCAACTAATGATTTTGGTTCAACTGGTAGAACTTCATTCGCATGAACCTTGGCTTTCTTAAGAGTTGGGTACTTGTGTCTTGGGTGAACAACTTCATTTAAAATCAATTCCACATATCCTATAAAAATAAATTTTTAACTTAAAATCTTTTTTGCACCTATTATTATTTGTCAGTGACTTGCTCCCAGCTGAGATGCATGTTAGGCAGAGCAAAATAATAAAGTAGGATCTATTTGGAGGCATTGCAGTGAAATTGGTTAATGAGCCAAATAATCTCTATTAAATCAAAGCATCAGGCGAAATAGATGAGGTCACACAATTGCCACTTCATGGCTAACTAGCATGCAAGGCCTACATCAGGAAAATATAATTCTTACCATAGGTTGGCATTTCTTTCAATGGTTTTGCTACTGCCTTTTCTCCTTTAAATGCCTCGGGATATGAAATTACCCATCTAAGCTTCCCATCAACTGTTGTAGCTTGTTTCCTATTGCTGTTTTCATTATAGTGCAAGTTTGAACAGTACAACCTGCAGAAACAATATCAAATTTTAAAAAACAAAAGCCATACACTTTATGATCTAAATAGGAAACCACCTGGTGTTTGCTAGCTCGCGAATATATTAAAATACTCTATTTATATTCACATGCAGGCTAGGTGTTTGCTATTTTTTCAAATAACTACAATGTTGTTTGCCTGTGTAACCACAGATGTAGCACACCTAACTCAAATGTACATGATCACATAGATATGTTAACTTTATGCTGTTAATATTAGAAAAAGAGAACCTCACCTTGCACTTAATGAATGATAGGGATGGTATATGTTTTTTGACGCAAGGACGTTATCCAGAGCATGTTTAGCCTCCAAACCAGATGTTTGATGGTATTGGGATAGCTTACGAATTGCTGTAATTAGTCGAGGCCTAGTTAACATCTCTGTTATTTTTTTGTATGCAGCAGATCCTGCAATAATACAAATAAAATATAAATGCTTGTACTAACCTGTTAGTATGCAAGACCCTCCAAGTAAAATCGTCTGGCATTTAACCATTGAGTTGCATTGTGCCCTGATGTGCCGTACTTTATTATTTTACTCTGTCTAACACCATACGATTTTACTCATCAAGGGAAGAGCGCTGGCATTTAATGGGTAACTGGCCTATCTGTCCATTTGTCTAGTTAACCCATTTAGTTGCATTGCGTCCTACTTTATTACAGTATTTTACTCTATCTAACACCAGACGATTTTACTTGTCAAGGGGAGAGTAAATAATAAAGTAGGGCACATTGGGAAGTTGGGCACAATACTATTATTAGCCTACATTCAGTTAATGTCGAATTTAAACATGCCTATAAATAGTTCAACTTCTTATTTTACCCAACCTTGTTTAAGCCATTCTCTTTCTAGTGGGCCATGAAGACATTCAACAAAGGTCTTATGGCCATCATGTTTGTGAACATTCACAATGTGGTTCAGAATACTGCGCCATTTTTCCTCCCTCTCATCAGCAGCCTTGCTTGAATCACCAACCCAGTAAATATGATTAACAATGGACTGCCAAACAACAAAATTAATGAACATGTTAATCATTATTGATATTATTGGTAATAGTGCGATCTGTCTACTATCTAATACTGTGCATTGTAATATGTATTACTTACCCCAATCCATGGCTTAATTGACTGGAATTTCTTTTTCTTTACAAGCTTTGTCAATTTCTTCTTTTCACCTTTAAAATAATAAACACTAGTGTAAAGAAAATTTAATACCCACTGCCCCTAGCTTAGCAAATTGCTTTTGCCTACCTGCAAAGAATGTAAACATGCAGGCATACAGTACCATGTAATGTAAGTTTTACCTACCTTTTGCCACATGCCAAACATCATAAGAATGCTCAACATCTGGTTTCTCATTTGCCATGTATGCCGAGACTTGAGTGTGGCGATCTGTCACAAGTTTGGTCACCTGAACTTTATTGTCCTCCAAGCATTTAAGTTGCCTTTTCAAAGATTCTAGCTCCATTGCATTTGAATTTTTTACTTCTGTAGACTATGAAAATATTAAAATGACAATAATTTTCTCAGAATTATAAAGCCTGTTTCACATCTCAATTTTCATGTGCCTAACCAAATGCAAATGAGCTCAAACAAATATAACGTTACTTCAGGTCATTTGCCTTTGCTTGGGCACACCCGCACATGAAATGTTGGACATGTGAAACAGGCCTATCAAGCATGAACTATTTATGAGCATATTTAAAATTAATTTTATTACTATTAATTATTACTTTTTATTAAAAGGCTGTACTTGATTTTATATTCCCTATTTATTAGTTAATTATTTATTAATTTTGCATTAGTATTAATTTCGCAAACACAAGTTTTCATTCATAGTTATTATTTTCAATGTGCATTACCTTAATTATTTGTGTATCCAATATGATGTTTCGTCCCATGTCGAGCGTACTTCCCGATCCAAGAAGACCACAGTGACCAGGGCTGTCAACACGCATATCAGATGCAATTACAACTGGTTTTCCCTCAATTTCTTTTAGCCGTGCAGATTGCTCTTTTTGCCAAACTTCGTATACAGCTGGAATACCATAATTCTTTAAAATATTTGATAACTCCCGTCGCTTCACATTAGGAATCTTTAAGGAATTGAAAAGTCGAAGAACTTTAGCTGATTCCATTCCTGTTGCAAGAATTCCAGACGCTAAAAGTAAATGAAAGATAGGCATTCTATTCACCATGGGACCTGTTCTCCACTCAAAGTAGTGATTATTTTCCACTGTACAAGAGCTACAAATTTTGCACGATGAGCCGATTTGGTGTTCCATTGTGACGATGCATTTTGAACCACACTGTCTGCATTTACCAAGAACGTGCAAGATCGCTTCTTCAAATACAATGAGTTTTATTTGATCTTGTGGGGGTTTCCCCTCCCGCAGTATTGTTCGTTCATCCGACTCGTCGCAGCTCTCCTCGCTGTCGGTAGATGCCCCTTCGGCTTGCTCGGTTTCTACAAAGATACTGTCCGATTTTCCTAAATCCTCGCTGTTACTGCTATGTATGCTCTCTACGTCTTCTTCTGTCGCTGTTGTAGCAGTGTAATTGGTCTGGATCTGCTCAATATTAAGGGATTTTCCCTGGTATGCCATATTGTCCACGACTTCGTTTACTGGTCGAGCTTCCGAATCAGTACGAAAAAACGTCGAAGTTGCGTCTCCCAACGTTTGTGTCTTGATTGATCTTGTCACTGGTTTCCATGTTTGAAAAAACGTCGAAGTTGCGTCGGCTAATGTCTGTGTTCTAACCGATCTTGACACGGGTTTAAATGGTTTAAATGTTGTCTGTGTTGATTTTGTTCGAAGAAGAGAATCGTGTAAAAATATTTCAGGCTCGCGTGTCTGTTCCGACGTACATGTACTAGGCAATGCGTCTAATTCTACGGTACATTCAGTAGGGTCAGTTAGACATTCATCAACATCGCAATGCTCGTCTGGTGAGTATTCTTCATCTGCTTTACTTGTTGAACTTTCAGGATTCAAAAGGTCAGTGATGCCCTATAAATGAAAGAACATTTTTTGGTGTGTACTGGTAGCAAATGGATAAAATGAAAGTCCCTTGTTCAATAAATAAATGTTTTGCGCAGACATTAATTGTCAGAAATTACCTTTGTTCGTTGTCTTCTCTCAGTATAAGTCCTTGTTTTACTTGTGCTTGGATCTATCAATGGTTTATTTAATGTGGGCAACGCTTCCCTTTTCAATTGTATTCTGAACGTTTCATTGCATTGTATTCGTTTTAAAAACTGTGGCGACTGTCCTTGTTCATACGCGTCTTCGGCAAAATGAAGCGAGCATATTCTAGTGGACGACGATGGTTTAAATGCTTTGCGCTTACAGAATTCAATCCACGCTTTTCTCCTGTATTGCTGATCTACCGATTTGTCATTTGGAAAACGGAAAAAACGGATTTCACTTGTGTATTGGCTGTCACTATTACAACCGTAGACTGGGCAATACATGTTTTGTAGTGCACCTTACTAGCTACCTTACGTTTTACATGAACAATCTTGATCTTTTCTTTAATTGAAGCCGTACTCAGAACTGACAAGTATTTGCAATTTCGGTTATATATATAGTACAACGAGGAACACGTGAATCGTTTAGGGAATTTTACATAACACAATAAAAGTATTGATATAATATTGGAAGCTACATGCATGACAGTATTTTACCGAGTATTTTACCTATACAAAACAATGCTACAATTGATAACCAAGTAAAACTACATGTAAAAATACATAAGTGTAAAATAACTATAATCTGGTTATACGAACCAGATTATAGTTATTTTACACTTATCTCTTGTCTAGGATTACTGGGAAAATCCCACACTGACCTTGAATGTTAATTTACTAATTTGCGCAATATCTAACTTGCGCGACACAGCCGACACTACACATTACAGAAGATATAGATACCAGCTATTTCACGAGTAATGTCGTTCGAACGCCTGCTCAGTTTTAAAAGCAATAGTTGTGAAATCTGCAGCTAAATATATGTCGCCGGCCTGCATTTATAGAAGTATATTTTCTCTTCACAATCATGATCAATTACCTATCATGATTTTGATTCAGCCTTTAATATAGAATTCGTGCAGTCAATGTTTTCCAAAGTTGACGGCCAGTGAATTCTGGCACGAGATTTTAAAATGTTTCGTCTAAGGCTGGTGTGCATCACGGTGGAATTATCCACTACAACATCAGTTAACATTGTTGCAGTTCATTGAATGATTTTTGTATTAATAATAATAACAATACTTTGATACATTAAATACTCAGTAGAATCTTTTATTTCAATGCAAATTACTTCTATATTTCTGCAACAGAGCATGCACATACATAAATGTATATGATATACATATATACATACAATTTGAATATATGACATGTAATTGGAACAGCAGAACTACTATAACCGGAGTCAATGTCTAAGCGCATTTTACAACGCAAATATACGCTTTACTGTCGAAAACACAATCACAGACCATTGGTAGTAAGTTGCTACACATTATTGAACTATTAATACACGTTGCCGTGTATCTGTAATTTTTTTGTAAACATTTTCTTCCAAATCTCAACGTTGTTACAGTATAACTTATATTGTGGGATTTGTGTTTACCCTGCCATCTACGTCACCAAATGTATTCATGCATAAATTAGCATACGCGGAATTTTCCCAAGATGGCGGACGACTGTTAAAATTTGTTAAACATTTTCGCACATTTTCTGAACAACTAAATGCAATGGACAAACAAAAATATGAAATTAAGTATTCCGTTAGTAAGTTTAATGAATACAGACAATAAAAATTTTTGTTGCCATTGTCCTTTAATAGTGAATGTGTATTTCCCAAAATAGGCTGCAATTTGTAAGTATGCCAGTATTATTAAAACCCCAGCATATGGAATTTTGCATTTATATATAAACATTCTGAAAGTTCAATATGTATTCTATAATACAAGCCTAAACATCTCCCTAGTTTAAACTTTAAAGTACATGTTAGTTTTTATAGTGACTGTATACAGGGTGTATCAAAAAAAGTAAGACAATTTTGAAATTGCTCTCAATTCCACACTTCTGTTCTTTCGTGAAACTTTGGCGAACCAAGTTTATGTTGTTGCTATGGAGGATCTCTGATGCCATAAAAGCTCTCTGCATCGGGGTAAATTGTGGCATTGCCATTTCAAAGCGTATGGGGTATTATACGAGAAAATGTGTTTCAGCACAACAACTCGAAAGCACAAATTCCATGGAAAGTCCATGGAACTCTCATGGGAGTAAAAATGAATTCATAATGAAGCAAGAACAGCACCAACGGAGAAAAATGTAACATTTTCATAGGCTTTTCGGAGGATTTGTACTCGGTAAAATCCTGCCGAAATTTTATCATAAATGTACCCAAAATTTACTATTTTCAAAATGTTTTTATATTTTCCATATTTTAAGAATTCAAGCAATCCATACATATCAAAAATTACATTTCATGAACAGAATGAATTGTGGAATTGAGAGCAATTTCAAAATTGTCTTACTTTTTTATACACCCTGTATATTACTGAGAATACTGTCTTACTGATATTAAACAGCTTGATCTCTTCCGAAAATTAAGGCTATGTCTTAATTGTAAAAAGCGTTCAAATTAAGACATTGCCTTAATTTTAAACATAACCCCCACCTCAACCCCCATCCTAATATCTAACCCCTAACCCCCCTAACTGCTAACCTTAATCTAATCTTAGTCTAACCCTAATCCAATCCAAATCTGGCGACCTTTTTTCTTTTTTTTAAGTCCCGCATGGAGCCAACAAAATTTTCGCCAGACCATGAAATGTTTGTGCAAATTTTTCAGCTTTCTTACAGTCTTGAAAACAAAATTTATGTGCGGGTATACAGAAAAATTATCAGAGTTCAATGTGGTATAATTTTTTATCATGTTTTATTTACATGTGCGAAGTATTTCGCGTTTTGCTGAAGATGTATATACGTCAGTTGAGATATAGTTGCTAACCTTAGGTATATTCTATATATATGAACAATGTTTTTCATTGAGCGCTCAACCCTCGAAATTCAACTATTTTTGCCTCGGCAAATAATTGCCGAAGTCGTTTGATAATTTTCGAGTTTGCCTCAGCAATGCCTCGGCAATTTTTTTGCCGAGGCACGCAATGAAATCACCTTAAATTCCTTCGGCAATTACTTCGGCATTCACGTCGGCAGTTCCTGACTTCAAAATGTTTTTAAAAAGTTAGTGGTAATTAACAACAAATTGTATGAAAGAATAAACTTACGGTAATCACGCGACAGTCTATTAGATAAAACAAAGTTTCTCGACGTGCCGTCTTTAAACCATCAAGGTTGTTCTTTATTTCAGCCGAAGCCGACGATGAAATATTTTGTAAAGTAGCTATGAATGAAATTTTCTGTTCACCCGACGTCGATGACAACAATTCGAACAAAGACACTAGTGATATAAAAAACGAACACTGTAGTTTGTCAATTTAAGCAAAAAAGGAACAGATGCTGTAGTTTGTAATTTAAGGTACAACGGGTGGAATTGCCTCGGCATTTTTTTGCCGAGGCAAACTATGAAAAATCGTAACTTGCCTCGGCATTTGCGTCGGCAATTGCAGAGTGCCGAGGCGAATTTTGAGGGTTGGCGCTTGCGGCGCGCAACAAATGACAGAGGAATTGGGGCAAGCTTAATCCAAATTCGCATTTGGTGCATTCTACATATCGTTTTGGGCTGCCTATGATTTGAGATGGCATGAATTAAGCAGAATACAATGGATCAATTCCATACTACTCACCCATAATTATTTTTTGATGTTAATAAATAATAATTTATTATTTTGTTAGCCACATAAAAATTTCATAACTAAAGTACAAAATTGGCTGTGTAGTTTGCTAAAAAGATAGTTTGAAATTAATTCCATGTTTAAAAATCATGGTTTAAGTTGAAATTCATCCTTTCATATGGCATTACCTATATTCTAAATATTGCTACCATGAGTTTCATAGCAAAAATTATATGCAAAAAGTTTCCTTCCTCATGTGCCATCAATCCCAGGGTATATATCAAATACATGATAAAAACACTGTCTTTGTATTTCTAATATACATTATAGTTACTCAAGGTGAGCAGACGTACAGTTGAGAGCTCTGTAAAAAATTATTTTAAATTTCATAATAAATCTTACAAGTTAAAAGTGAACATGCCACATACTAAAAAGAAAAAGCCAAAAGCTAGTGATTCAAGTATAGAATCTGTGCAAGATTCAGTCGAAGTCGAAGAGATTAATAATATGGCGACCCTTCCTTCTGGGTTGGCAAATTTTCTAGATCAACGATTGAGGGTGCAGACTGGACAAATTGACAATCTCTTTGTGAAATTCTCTGGATTAACGAAGTCTGATCTACAGGAGATTAAGAAAAGTCAAGAATTCCTTGCCACCAACTTCGATGATCTAGAAGTCTCAGTTTAAAGATAAAGAGCAGAGCCCAGTAGTCTAGGACCTGTATATGAATGAATGAATGAACAACTTTATTTAAAGAGGGTAAAAACACATGACAGCAATATAACTGAAAAACCTGTGGCCCTCATATACAATACATACAAAGTTATTAATTCTACTTTAAAACGTCTAAAAGCTATTTAGAGTAAATATGTAAAAGATCTTAGGATTATAAATTTATATATCCAAATTATATACAGTACAACTTGCTGATCACAATAATAATTCAAAGTGATCAATGCCCTTATAAGATTCTAAGAAGTATTTTTTAAGGGCAAACTTAAAGGAATTAACGCTAGGTTTCGTCTTAATATCATTCGGGAGATTGTTCCATATTTTAATGCTGCTGACCGTTACAGATTTTCCTCCCTCAGTTGCATAATTATATTTAGGACACACTAGATTATATTCGCCATGACGAGTTTGTCTACCATTAATTTCATTGTTTGTTTTAAATAAGTTCTTAATATATTGCGGAGCTTGATCATGCAGGCTCTTGTAAACTAAAGTGCATTTGTTAATTTTAACTTCGTCATAAAAAGGTATCCAGTTCAGTTTATTGAAATATGAGTTTGTATGCATTTCATTTAGGACAGATAATCTCAACTGTTTTAGGGTAAGTTGACCATGACGGTCAACATGGTAATGCTGCCCAAACCCCAATCCGGGGCGAAACATCCGAAACTGACCACACCCAAAAACGACGCTTTCGCCATACTGCTATCTACCAAACCATAAAAGCTTTGGCTATTCTGAGATGCTTATATGGTTCAGAGATGGTACTTTTGGGGATGATCTTTGGTAAGTGTGAAATGCCTAGCACTAATATTTCACAAGAAAATGACCATGCAATAATCATAGTTAGACATCAATTTGTGGCTTGCAACTTCAGATAAACAGCAGTGGACTTACATTACCTTTTTCCCTAAATCTTCTTGATAGAAACAT